GTGGATGAGTCAGTTTTCTAAAGAAAGAAAAGGATTGAGAACTACCTTTTACTGCACCCCTACTAAGAATTAGGTATTGTGCTTCTTTGCACACTTCCACCCAAATGGACCACAATATTGTAAACTTTTATTCCTTTAGTGGTTCCCTGTGGACTTCTAGAGAAATAACAATACTTCATTCTTAAAAGTCCTATAAAATTAATTGGGGTCATCTCATTGCTAGGGTATTAAAGCAGTGGGCACAGAACAGCTCTGGTCCAGAAACAGAAGAACACTTTGTTCTGATAATCCAGTTGTCATTTTTGATCTTTGAGGTGAAACCTCACAGCCTTCATATCCGCATATAGACCTGTCCTCTGAGGGAGGCATTTACGTTTATAGCAAAGTAGCTAGGGAACAAACATTAAGGAGGGGAAAAGACAGGAGCTAAGAAAACTGATGGAGGATCAAACAAGGAAAAGAAAAAGGCAGAGTAAAGATTTGGAACATGATATAAAAAATATTTTTATAAAAGATGCTCAATAATTATTATATTGCTTTATATTTGTAATTAAAAAATAATTACTAAGTTTCAAATCACCACAATCCAATTTATGTTAAACATTCAGTTATCTGAAAATTCCCCTGGTTTTTCTTTTTTGTTTTTCTTTATATGCATACTTGGTAAATTAGCTTCTAAACACACAGAGTGAATTTCAAAAATTCTTCTCTGAAAAGGAAGGCATATGGCTAAAAGATAAAATAATATAGGTGGTTTGATTTTTGGTTTTTATTCTCCCCAAAACAGTTTGTGGCCTTACATCAACAGGGAACTGCCAAAAATTCAAGTGAAATTCAGAAGAGGACAGACTCAGAAGAGAACAAATTCAGAAGAGAAATGAGGGCTATCATTGCTCATGTCGGCTGGATTGTAGTTTAAAAGCAAAGACTATCAGTACAATACTTAACCTGTGTTTTATCTACTTTACAAAGGCCTTTGACTCTGTGGATACTAACAAATTATGGATAACACTGAGAAGAATGGTAATAATTCCAGAACACTTGTGCTCAATGTGAAACCTGTACATAAACCAAGTGGCAGTCATTCAAACAGAACAACTGTATGTTTTTAGTCCATCATCTTTTTTTAGACACCCTCTTACCAAACACCAGCCATGTCAAGTCACGAGACAGAATTTCAGGGGTGGCTGATGGTGGTAACATCCGGCGAAAATGAGAGCATGTGGGCCTGTTAGCTTCCGTAGTAATCAGTTCAACTGACTGAATATGGAAGCACAGACAGAATCTCAATTTCAGTTTCAATTTCTCTTTTTCCTGGTTTTCTGTCAGTCCACTTACAGTTAAAACTTGTTTTTATTTCCTTTATTGTTGCCTATCAGAACAACTTGTATTTGCACATTGTCCAGTAGGCAGAATGTGCTACCAGTGGTCTTCACAGCCCTAACAGGAGTCCTGGTGTGGCGCTGTAGGATCAGCACTGGACTGTTAACCAGCAGTTCAAACCCACCAACTGCTTCTCAGAAGCCCTATGCAGGGTCACTATGAGTCGAAACTGACATGATGGCACTTAACAGCAACAACAAATGGGACAGTTTGGCATGTGTTTATTTGAAGAAATGTTTGCACCTCAGTTATGATCTTGTCATGACTTTGATTCCTGCTTCCGTCTCCTTGACATTTATATATATATATATATACATGACTGTCATTCTGTCGGCCACTATCCTGGACATTAGGAATAAATATAGTCACTTCCCAAGGCCCTTCTTTTTGTTACTTTGCTCCCCAAGTGGTTCATGTTTTCATGGTTTGATTTTATTAGCCTTACTGACTCTTAACGGCAATTTTACCAAAATGACTCTATGCCACTTAGCTATAACCTTCTTGAGGTCAGTTACTAGGTCTATCTCGTCACCTCTGCATCCTCAGTGCCTAGAGAAAGCATGGAACATAACAAATATTCGCTGAGTGAACGAACTCCTAGAAGAGTATTTAGAACTTATGTGTGCTTTCTCAATGTTACCTTAGACTTTCTGTTAATCATTTTACTTTAAATTAGCCTTCTCTGTCTACCTAATGGGAATTGTAGTGTGGAGCTATAGGATAAACACTGAATTCTTAACCACAAGGTTAGCTAGTTCAAACCCATCAACCGCTCCTTTGAAATTCTATACAGGGTCACTATGAGTTGGAACCAGTTCGATGGCACTTAACCACAACAGCGATCTACTGATCTACTAAGTAACAAGGAGTCCTGGTGTGACGCGCTAGGATAAGCACTGAATTGCTTACCATAAGGTGGCAGTTCAAACTCCCAGCAGCTCCTTGGAAACCCTAGTTAACTGTGAGGTATAACCAACTTGAGGGCACTGAAAAACAACAATCTACTAAAAAGAAGGGGTCCTGGTGATGCAATGGTTAAAAGCCTTCAGCTGCTAACCCATAGGTCAGCAGTTCGATCTCACCAATCACTCTACGGGAGAGAAAGGAAGCCGGATGCTTCTGTAGAGAACATTACAGCCTTGGAAACACTTTGGGGTCAGTTCTACTATGCCCGAGTTGCTATGATTTAGAATCAGCTCTACAGCAATGGGTTTGGTTGGATGGTTGGTTTTTATTTTTGCTTTGTTTTGTCTTGGTATTTGCTGCTAAAAAGCCAGCAATTATTTTTTTTAAAGAATTTATTTGATTCAAAAGAGCCCTGGTAGAACACTGGATTATCTGTTGGTTACAACTACAAGGCCTGTGGTTCGAACTTTCCAGCCACTCTACTGGAGAAAGATGAGGGTTCCTGCTCTCATTAAAGATTTATAATATTGTAACCTATGAATCGGGCTGCTAATCTCAAGTTCAGCAGTTCAAAACTTCCAGTGGTTACGAGGGAGAAAGATGAGGATTTCTGCTCCTGTAAAGATTTACAGCCTCAGAAACCCTATGCAGGGTCGCTATGAGTCAGAACCAACTCCACGGCACATCACCACCACCCACCCCTAAGGAGCTGTTCTACTCTGCCATATGGGGTCGCTGTGAGCTGGCACCAACTTGATGGCCGTGGGGTAGGATTTTTGATTATCTTAATCTTTTCCTTCTTTGCTTTTGCTATCATCAATGAAAAATAGACTAAAAATAGCAAGCACTTTTATTTCTTTTTACAGCTGCTGAAATTTTGTGTCCCTCAAGAATCTTTCTCTACAGCTAATGTTGAAATGATTAAACACACTAAACTAAAAACTCAAATTTCCCTTTCATTTTGATTAAAGCTTAGGATTGACTTTAGATCTAATAGTTATTTAACAGTAGCCATTCTAAGAAGGAAATGAAGAGACAAAGGGCAGGCAGTAAGTGATTCTGGATCAACTGATAGGTAGGTAATTAGGCAATTAGATAATCTAGTTTAGAACAGACTCATGCTATTCCTTTTTGTCCACCCAGCAAACAACTGTGATAGTCTGATAACAATATAAATAGAGATGCTTCTTATTGTTTAGGCTTCTCTTCACTGTATTTTGGTATGTCTCTATGAACCAAAGGAATCCTAGTATGACCCTATAGGATAAGCACTTGGATTGCTAACCACAGGTCAGTGGTTCAAACCCACCAGCCACTCCTTAGAAACTACACAGGATTACTAAGATTTGGAACCAACTCAATGATACTTAACAACAACAATATGTACCTTGGTGGGAGGGAAGCATTGCTGTTTAGATTATATTTTGCCTAGGAAAGTGCATTAAAATCACTTGTTAGGTTTGGTGATGTTTTGTGTGTAGTGCGCTTTCTATTTGATTTTCGTAAACCTGCTTCACAAGAAAAAAAGATACATATTTTTTTTCCCTTCATGGCTGCTTTGTGCTATTAATAGCTGACTTGGTTTTCTAGGTTTAGAGGAAAACAAAGCAATGAAACACTCTCCATGGAATTTTCATTAAGTTTGAAAAAAAAATTGTGAATTATCTCAAGTTTCTAAAAAGATTGTAAAAGTTGATATATGTATATGTTTTATTGTATAAGAGCAAAAGTAAACAATTGAAAATTTAAGCTCTATCTGCAAAGTCTTACACTGTTTATATTGATGATAGTACAGTCAGGAAGCACATTAACTGTTCAAAACAAGGACCTTGGTACTTTAGGAAGAAGAAGTTGAATTCCATGGGGTTAAATAGTTTTTCCAGAGTCATGCTGAACATTGTTGTGGAGTCAATTCTGACTCAGAGCAACCTAACGGGACAGAGTAGAACTGCCTCATAGGGTTTTCACTGTAACTCTTTATGGAAGCAGAATGCTACTCTTTCTCCTGGGAACTCGCTGGTGGGTTGTAAGTGCCAACTTTCAGTTTGCAGCCACAAGCTTTACCCACTGCATCACCAGGATCCATTTTAAGACCATTGTGCTAGTAAATGTCTCAGTCCAGTTCAGAATGTTCTTTCCACTAAATCACTTGGTAGGCATCATAGCCAAGAAGATCTGAAGCTATGAAGTAACTTAAACAATAGCAATAAGAAAATATGCCTCTCATAAGTGGAAACAAACCCACATTGCATATGAACTACAACTTAATTAAGATGCATTTGTATAGACAGATAAGAGGAAAAGATTGTAACGATTCTAATGCTTATATTCATCCACTGCCACCTAGTTGATTCTGACTCCTAGTGACCCTACCCCTATAGGGTTTCCAAGATGACACATCTTTACAGGAGCAGACAGCTTCATCTTTCTCCCTCGGAGTAGCTGGAGGGTTTGCACTGCCAACCATTTTTTGATTAACAGTCCAACCATGGGTGCTGTGTTATCCTTTGTTTTCTAGAATGTCGATTGTGGATAAGTTACTGTCAAGTCCAGGTATTACTGAAACAGAGTAAAGTGCCGATAGAATCAGTCAGTTTAGGTAATTTCTCGGGGTATCTGAAAATCTTAAAGTTTTGGTATGCTTGAAAGATTTGTATGCTGAAAGATTGCTTGGTCATGTCTGCTCATATTCATGGTTTTCAACATTTCAGATCATCAAGCTATTGGATGGAAAACGGTCTCAAACTGTGGGGATCTTGATATCAAGTCTACATTTAGAAATGAAGGATATCCAGCAGGGTAAGTCTTCCACATTATTCATTTCCAACTTTTAAATATAACATTTTACTGCAAAATTTTTCTAACTTAATACAGAGAATGTTCAAATGAACCTGTGTTTTAATGTTTCCTGTGTACCCAATACCCATCGACAAAATCATCAATCAACTCATTTTGCGCCCTCTTATATGTCTTCTCCCCAGCTGGATTGTTATGAAGCAAATCTCACACATTTTATAGTGCCATCTGTTAAAAAATATATATATATTAGTACTATCGCTAAAAGATACAGAAACTTTTTCCAAACACTAGCGATGCCATTATCATCCTTTTGAAAATATTATTAATAATTCCCCATTATCATTAAATGTGTAGTTCTAATTGCTCTGAGTGCCCATATACTAATTATTCATCTGTTCATTTACAATTCATTTGAATGGGGACCCAAATAAGTTTCATGCAGTGTCATTGGTATATCTGTCAAGTTTTCTGTAAGCTCTAAGTTTTTACCCTCCATTCTTATTTTCTTTATAATTTATTTGCTGAAGATACAGTGCAAAGGATTGCTTTTATATGGTCTTCTTCACCATGGTCTTAAAACTCCCACCAAAAAATTGTGTGGGCCTATGCAGATAAGTTGCTTGTAGCCCATCAAGGTGATAACTTGCTAACAATGTAAATAAGGTGCATTGCACTTTTGTGGGCTTGGGGTCATACAAATAAGGTGTTTGGAACATTAATGAGGAGATTGGTCAGCTTTGCTATCCCACTAAGCTTAAAATGAACCATCCCAGAGACAGGAAGGGGTGGGGGGCACTTCTATCACCATGAAGAAGAGATGGGGTAGAGTGTGCCCTTTAGGCCCAGAGTCCCTACAGTGACAACCTCATAGACCCACCAGACAGAGACACAGAGCTGTAACACTGGAGATGTTAAGAGACCATGAGAATCAGTGGCAGCGAAACAGTGGCAACAGGACCAAAAAACCCTCAGGATGTTTCTTAGCCTATGGAGCAAGAAAACTGAGTGCTTGCTGGCAGAGTGAAATGCCTCCAAGCACATGTCAGTGGAGCTAAGCTTGCCAATACACAGTGAGATCTGAGTGCCTTCCAACCAAGGCTAACTGGCTGGCTGGGTTTCATCTGGTATTTAGCCATAGAGGGAAAGATTTTTGCAATACTTTACCCAGTGGAAAAGAAGGCTGGCCAGCCCAAAATGGTCCCAGGGGCCAAGAGGCTGAGGGCCAGGGAGAGCACGGCCAGCCAAGACGCTCTCCTGACTTACTTCTCTATGAAATCCCATAATCATGAGTATTGCCTATGAGTTCTGTGTGACCATCATTGCAGTGAATTATCGAACCCAGTAGAGGGAGTAGAAATGGCTGGGAGAGGTACAGCCAGTGTCAGAATTGGTCAACAGTTTACAGAGAAGGCGGTATGCCTGACTTCCACCTCATAGCAATCAGCCTTGTGCTGTTAACGATTTGTCTTCCTCCTCATGAAGTTAGACAAGATTATTGTCATATTGTCATTTTTTTCATGTTCCTCTGTTCCTGTGTGTCCTGTAAATTGTTAATTCTATCTAGAGATTTAATCTGATTTTGGTTTAATTTGGGAGAGAAGAATATCTCATAGGTACTATTGTATATTCTATCAGGATATACAAAACATCTGGTTGTTTCCTTTTATGTTGTTAGCGATGATTATTGCCTAGATCTCTTATTTCATTAGACATTTACACAATAATGTACACATTCCATCATTTCCTTTCACTAGCTGGACATCTTCTATGGAAAGATGCTTTCCTTCATCAACCATTTGATTATGACATACTTTCTTAATTCCTCTCCACCCTCCTTTTTGTTTTTTTCTTTGTTTAAACCAATAAGACTATTTCCACTGGGTTACCTTTGGCTCCATTAAAAAAAAAAAAAAGACATTTTTAAAGAAAAATTTAGTTGTATGTACTTTTGTTAGTTTCTAGAAATGTGGACAAATAACCCCCTTGCTCTTCTGAAATTTGTATCTTGCATAAAGCATGGAAACAATACTCCCATTTCTTAGTAGACCATTAAATGTAAATCTTTATTTTGATATGCCATTTATAATATGGTCTGAGTTGTAATACAGTTTCTCTTCTCTTCAACAGTTTTAGTAGAATTAAACATGGATGTAACAGTGGAGATTCTGAAACCACATACATAGCCCTTTTGGCTTCAGTCTGTCTTACCTCAAAGTTGTTTTACTTTGGTAGCCAGCAGAAGATTCCCATAGGTTCAGAACCAAAAGACCCTTAATATACTTCCACAAAATGCTTTTCCTTTCAAGGAAGCTTTTTTTTTTTTTTTTCCTGAAATACATTAAACTTTTGGTATATTGCAAACTGTACAAGCTCTACATAAAATCTAAACTATCCTAAATTACTTATGATCACTCCAGTAAGCTGGTTTATTTTCAGTGTCTAAAATCAATAATGGAACTGAAAAAGTAAGTGTGAATATTAAGCCTCAAAATATGATTCTAGTAGTTGATCGGAGTTTGAGACAAAAAGTGATAATAAGGTCAACCCAGAAGTATTTTTCACCATCTTTAAGTATTATATCTTCTGGACGAATTGAGTTCCTGGTGAATGTAATACTAGGATTAAAAACGAAAGAAAGAAAAAATAAAATAAAATAAAGAACCTAGACATAGGAGCTTATAAAATGTTACTTGGGAAGGGGACTAACTTTTTTGATGTAAGCAGGGATTCTTGAGGTACAACAGTAGATTCTAATACTAAACAATACTATTGCTGAATCTGGGAAAACCATGCAGATTAGAGATTTCACAATGGGGCATCATATTAGATTTTATTACTTCTTTTTTTTTAAAAATGTAGATTTTATTACTTCTTGATGTATTAGTTCATCAAGTTAGTTTTTGTTAAGAACTTGATGGCTAAGTATAAGGTTGGCAACTTCAACCCACTCAGCAGCTCCATGGGAGAATGACCTAGCAGCCTGCTCATGGGACGCTTAGAAAACCCCATTCTCTCACACAGAGTTGCTATGAATTGAAATCAACTCGATGGCACTGAACAGTAACAAGAACAGTTCTTTTTAGACACATTCTTCTATAGCACATCAGACCTCAACATAGAAAAGGGTGTCCCCAGCCATGTGATATTTTAATTTCCAAAGCAGGACCATAAGCCTTCCTGTGGCATTCTAGTCTTATTGGACTGAATATTCATTATGAGCACAATAGAATAGTAAGTAGTTCACCCAGACCTTTCTCCAGCATTCTTTTCTGAGGAAGAATAGGCTTACACGAAGTAAGAAGTAGATATTTATTTCAGCATTGAAAATGTCAATTACAGTATCATAAACTTGTAGGCTTTGTGGGCAGCATTATAATTATTTATTCTGCCTCAAGCACCTCCACTGCCCACCTCAGAGAGCTGGCTCCTAAGTTCTGAAAAAAACACAACAATCTCCATTCCATTTCTTCATTTAGTAATACATTCCAGATGAATATGGCAGTATAGCTGGAGCTTAATCTTCCTTAGGAGTCATTTGACTGACACTGGCATCTGAAGGTCACTTAGGTGCCTGAGCTGTGTCAGTTCTACTTCATTCTGAACCCATGTCTGGTCGTGAATGGAATGCACTTGGCCTTGTGTTGTCATCCTGATGAAAGGATTCCCTGTGCTGTTGTGGGCCTAAGATGTTTATTGTTATGTTAGGAGGGATGCCTTGAGATGGACTCAGGAGAGGCCAGCTGGCAGCTGAAACAAGGTCTTACAGCATATCAACCCTGGTGAAATTACCACAGTCCTGAGGCTGTCCTTCAGTGTCTTTGTCATATATTCACCTTTGTCAGTACACAAAAGCAGAAGTACTAACTTGCTCTGTTCTAATTCATAAATAATAAAGTTAATATATTAATTTTTATAGAGGAGACTATTCTGTTCTCATGACTGCAATGTTTATTGTCCCAGTTCATTGTTTCCTTCCTATCACTTAACTCTACTTGACATTATATATGAGTATCTACTTGTTGGCTGGTATTTAAAATACCAGTGGCATAGCTTTCAGAATCACAGCAACTCACAAGCCACCACAGTACAACAAGCTTACAGACGAGTGGTGGCTTCTGAGTTGCTGTGATTCTGAAAGCTATGCCACCGATATTTTAAATACTAAACATCTAGAACCTGAAAACCAAAAAAGAAGAACACACTCAGCATTTCTCAAGCTGGGGGAACTGAAGAAAAAATTCAAGCCTCGACTTTCATTATTGAAAGATTCTTTGGGAAAATTATTGAATGATGCCGAACGCATCAACAGAAGATGGAACGAGTACACAGAGGCACTGTACCAAAAGGAAATGGTTTATGTTCAATCATTTCAAGAGGTAGCATATGATCAAGAGCCAATGATATTGAAGGAGGAAGTCCAAGGTGCATTGAAGGAATTGGCAAAGAACAAGGCACCAGGAATTGATGGGATAAAAACTGAAATCTTTCAAGAAAGTGAGGCAGCACAGGAGGCACTCACTCATGTCTACCAAGAAATTTGGAAGACAACTATCTGGCCAACTGATTGGAAGAGATCCACATTTGTGCCCATTCCAAAGAGAGGTGACCCAACAGAATGCAGAAATCATGGGACAATCTCTTTGATATCCCTTGTGAGTAAAGTTTTGCTAAAGGTAATACAGAAATGGCTGCAATCATACATTGACAGAGAACTTCCAGAGGGCCAAGCCAGATTCAGAAGAGGCCGTGGAACAAGGGATATCATTGCTGATGTCTGGTGGTTCTTCGCTGAAAGCAGAGAATATCAGAAAGATATTTACCTGTGTTTTATTGACTATGTAAATACTTTCGATTGTGTGGATCATGAGAAGCTATGGACAACATTGCAAAGTATGAGTATTCCGGAACATTTAATTGTGCTTATGAGGAATCTGTACCTGGACCAAGAGGCAGTAGTTTAAACAGCACATGGGAACACTGAATGGTTTAAAATTAAGAAA